AATTTTGCTCTTATTGTATAGGCTGGAGTTTAATTCTCCTGCCTCAGCCTCTCGAGTGGCTGGGATTACAGGCACTATAATTATAGCCTGGCTAATTTTTTATTTTTAGTAGTTACGGGTTTCGTTAGGATGGCCAGGCTGGTCTCAAACTCCTGACCTCAGGTAATCCACCTGCCTTGACCTCCCAAAGTGCTGGGATTACAGGCGTGAGCCACTGTGCCCAGCCAGATTTTTTTTTTAATGGATATATGAGAAAAGACCATTGTTTTCCAAGTAAATCTTTGAGTAATAAGGATGTTCAAGAGACCAGTTTTTCTCAGAAAGGCCTATTCTCTTTTACATGGTGGGACATATGCCTCTTCGTGGCTCCAGTTTTTCTGTATTTTTGTCTGTTGTCTTTCCATTCTGATTCTCCTCTTCTTTGTTGCCTGGCAGGCACCTTTCTCAGATTCTTAGGTTTGTTTCTTTGTATCTTTGTTTCCATACTCACCTGTACTTCTCCTGCTCTCTGTGTTTTTCTTGTTCTACTCAGAAACAGTAGAATAATCAAATTTAAATTCAGTTATGATACTTTATGTTAAAAGGTAACTTAGGATAGTGGCAAGTACCCTGAAGTATAGTCTAAGACATGGTTTAGGTTTAGGCTCTTACAGTGACTGTGTAACTGAGAAAGACATTTCACATTCCTGAAACTTAATTTTCTTACTTATAAAAGGGAGGAAATAGATTTCTTTCTCTGTCTCTTTTTTTTTTTTGAGACCGAGTCTTGCTCTGTCTCCCATGCTAGAGTGCAGTGGCATGATCTTGGCTCCCTGCAACCTCTGCCTCCCTGCAACCTCTGCCTCCCAGATTCAAGCGATTCTTCTGCCTCAGCCTCCTGAGAAGCTGGGACTACAGGTGCACATCACCACACCGAGCTAATTTTTGTATTTTTTGGTAGAGACAGGGCTTCACCATGTTGGCTAGGATGGTCTTGATCTCTTGACCTCATGATCTACCGACATTGGCCTCCCAAAGTGCTGGGATTACAGATGGGAGCCACCATGCCTGGCCATGAAATATATTTCTTTTTTTTTTTTTTTTTTTTTGAGACGGAGTTTCGCTCTTGTTACCCAGGCTGGAGTGCGATGGCACGATCTCGGCTCACCGCAACCTCCGCCTCCTGGGTTCAGGCAATTCTCCTATCTCAGCCTCCTGAGTATCTGGGATTACAGGCACGCACCACCATGCCCAGCTAATTTTTTGTATTTTTTTTTAGTAGAGACGGGGTTTCATCTTGCTGACGAGGATGGTCTCGATCTCTTGACCTCGTGATCCACCCGCCTCGGCCTCCCAAAGTGCTGGGATTACAGGCTTGAGCCACCGCGCCCGGCCTTTTTTTTTTTTTTTTTTTTTGAGATGGAGTTTTGCTCTTGTTACCCAGGCTGGAGTGCAATGGCGCGATCTCGGCTCACCGCAACCTCCGTCTCCTGGGTTCAAGCAATTCTCCTGCCTCAGCCTCCCGAGTAGCTGGGACTACAGGCGTGTGCCACCATGCCCAGCTAATTTTTTTGTATTTTTAGTAGAGACAGGGTTTCACCATGTTGACCAGGATGGTCCCGATCTCTTGACCTCGTGATCCACCCATCTCAGCCTCCCAAAGTGCTGGGATTATAGGCGTGAGCCACCGCGCCCGGCATATATTTCTTATAAATAGAATATGATATAATGAAGGGTACCAAATGGTGATGGCTTCTTGGATAAGTTAGAATTTCTGGATTCCATTATCTGTATACCATGCCTTCTTATAAAACTTTTCTTAGTGACTGAAGTTGGAGATGTTACGCTGAGAAACACAGGATGGGTAGTTGAGTGTTTCTGTAAGTTTCATCAACAACTTTGGATTTTCTCCTTATATCTACTCAGATACTCCCTATCAGAGATCACACTAATCATCTTGTATCTTTCCTCCCTCCGGATCAGAAATTGAGAAGGTGAAGAAACACAGGTTGTCTCAGTCCGCATTAAGACATCTTTTATGGCACACTAGAACTTTTTAAATAAAGGTTATTAAATAATGGGAACAGTTTTTCTTTTCTTTTTTTCTTTAAAGATAGAGTCTTGCTCTGTTCCCCAGGCTGGGGCACAGTGGTTCATGCAGTGGCATTAACATGGCTCACTGCATGCATCATTTCCCCGGTTTAAATGATCTTCCCGCCTCAGCCTCCCGAGTAGCTGGAACCACAGGTGCATGGCAACACGCCTGGCTGATTTTTATATTTTCAGTAGAGACAAACATGGGATCTTCCTGTGTTGCCCAGGCTGGTGTTGAACTCTTGGGATCAAGCAGTTCTCTCACCTTGGCCTCCCAAAGTGGTGGGATTATAGGAGTAAGCCACTGTGCCAGTCTAGTTTTTCTTTTTTGAATGTCTAAGCCCAATGAAAATTCTTGCTCTAGGTGAATGATTAACAGATAATCATTGTGGACTGTCTGTGTGTGTTTTACAATGGAGAACAAGAAATCAAACAGGTTAGTTAATTAAACATTTTTAGTCTATTAAAACCTGTTTAAAGTCACATTTGTCAATAATTTGACTAGCTAGAAATACCCTGGAAATCTATAGAATCATCTTTTTTTTTTTTTTCCTTTCCCCTGGTACTGACAAACCTGAATAAGCATCCAGGAGCAGAAATCTTCAAGAGATAGTTTTTATTCTTGGATGCTGCTATTGATCAGCAGTAATTGTGACTTGCTTTGAAGGGACTGATATGGAAGGAACTGTAGTATTTATGTATAAGGTTACTGGTTTTTTTTTAGACAGAGTCTTGCTCTGTTGTCCAGGCTGGAGTGCAGTGGTACAATCTCAGCTTACTGCAACCTCTGCCTCCTGGGTTCAAATGATTCTCCTGCTTCAGCCTCGTGAGTAGCCAAGATTACACATGCCTGGCACCACACCTGACTAATTTTGTATTTTTAGGTGAGACGGGTTTTACCACATTGGCCAGCCTGGTCTCAAACTCCTGACCTCAGGTAATCGACTTGTCTCGGCCTTCCAAAGTGTTGGGATTACAGGCGTGAGCCACCACACTTGGCCTATATATAAGGTTACATTTAAAAAGCCTTTCATTATTTCCATCATTTCATTGTAGTTGCCTTGGAAGTGCAACCATCATATTCAGCAGGAGTCCATTTCAACTTCTGACTTCTGGTTCTTATTTCTCTGTTACTATGTAGACTGCCTAGAAAGTTGCAGAAAAACCAAAAGTCTAAAAAATAGTAATTAGATTATAAAATATGGCTTTAACTAGGTGTTCCATATCTTGACATTTTCGAATTCCAAATTATTTTGTGATATCATTTTCCTTAACAAAGCAAATTTGAAACTTTATCAAAGCTTAAACACACTGAATTAAAAGGGGATTTAAATTAGGGCTTGGAAGGCATAATCTGAAATTAGAAGAGCTAGTGAAAATGGAAATAGCAGACTCCAGACACAGTAAACTCTAAACCAAAGGAATAGTATTGGGTAGAAATAGTGAATAGCTGTTGTTTATGTGGCATGTTTTATTTTCAAGGTATGTTTAGTTATTTAAGTGATTTTCATAGAATATGCTCATTTTTCAAATGAGTAGAAACACCTTCTAAAACTTTGCATTTAGGAAGTAAATTGTAAGGGTAGAGGCAGAAGTACACTGACATTTTAATTGAGGGTTGAGCAGTTGGAGAGTTAATAAATGTACATGGTTCCACAGTTAAAAAGCAATAGAATTTTTTTCCCACACCAAGATGTTATATTTGTGAATTCCTCATGAAGTAGAGAAGAGATGGAATAGTAATATGAAAGCTGTGAAAGGAAAGTTATTTAGCAAAATTGCAGTCCCAACTTTGTTGCAGCTTTTCATTGAGGTCTGTATTTAGTCTGAATTCTTTGGTTTGCATGTGCCAAAATTCGAATTTGAACTATCCCGGAGAAAGAAGGGCAGGAATATAGCTTCACCTGAAATCAGGGATGCCATTTACACTAGAGGAATGTAGGTTCACCTGAAAACACGGATTTCTTCCTATTTTTTCTTTTAAGTCTCCCATATCTACTTTCTGAGTCAAGGTCATTCTTTCAGATTGACTTTTTTTTTTTTTTTTCCCATTGTCAGAAACCAGATGTTGGCAGTTTCTACTCCTCTTATTTACAGTTTATGTTGTGACAATTCCTCCCTTCTTCAACTGTGGCCAGGAGGATAGGGTTCTGTGATTGGCTCAGCTCGTGATTAGGGGGGCCCACCATTGGCTAAATGGACATTGGTGATTAGAGGGACTGACATCTGAAACAAGAAAGCAGCTTTCATTCAAACCACCTGGTTAGTGATGGGGAGAAGGGGTAGAAGGGTATGATGGGAAGAAGAAAGGGACATTTCCCAGAAGCAGAAGATGCTGTTCCAGGCAGAAATAAGAAGAGGGTTCCACTAGTGGTCTTTTGAGGGAAATTATCTGCTTTATTATAAGTCAGTTCACTTCAATTCAGCAAACCAGGAAACATTATTTTGTAGGACTTGGTTTTTTGAGAAAAACCAAGGTTGAAAACACACACACACACGCACACACACACGCGCACACACACACACACACACACACACAAACATAAACATGTGTTGCATTTGGTCCTATTTGTTGAGTTGCTTACCTGTATCATGTCTGGACTATGACTAGACTTTTTGTCTTCAGAGCTTTTTACAAATATACATTTCTTATACATTTTACTCCTACTAAAATACATCAAATTAGCAATACATATTTAAATAGGAGAATGTTAGAATTTGGATACATGAGATTAATGGGGTAATATTTAGACTTGGTTGATGTTAATAACTTGCATGTCTTTTTCAATTGTGAATATCTCTTCTTTTCAGTTAGAAATGTGAATAAGCCGTATATTGGGTAGAAGGAAGTTAATTTTCAGAATGTATTGAAGAAAGTGTATTTTTCACATGTCTAGACCTTTTTTTTTTTTTTTTTTTTTTTAAAGGAGAGTCAAGCCCTACTCGTCGAGAAGCTGTGAAGAGAAGAACAGCTGAGTATCTCATGCGGGCAGAAAGTATCTCTGGTCTTTATGGGAAACCTCAACTTGATGACGTATCACAGGTATGTCTTATATTTTGTTGTGTATTCAGTGATTTTTTGCTGTGTGGTCTCTCCACTTTATTTCTAATTAAAATGTTACATGATTTTATTTTTGGAATTTTATTAAGAATTTTCATAAAGGTTGGTGGTAAAAAGAAAAGCATTATAGCAAACCACCAAAAGTGGAATAAAATGGGACTTGCTTTCTCCTTTTCTTGGCCTTTCATTAGTTCCTCACTATACCCTTAATCCCCTCATCTATAGATTGACAGTAATTTATACTGTTATGATACCTATTTGTATTTGGACTTTTTAAAGTTAGATTGTGATTCTTGTACAATTCTTCTCCAGTTTTATTGATTCTTGTTAAAACTATTCATTTTAAGCATAAGTTCTACAAGTATATGCTGTTGGTCACCTGGAATTATAAAAGCGTAATCCTACCAAGGATAGTTAAGGTTATTTGGGACTTCCCCTAGACTTGTCTAAAATACAGATGGATGCTGAAAACATTAGAAACATTGAAGATTATTTCTGTTTTTATGCCTTATCAACCTGGATTTGACAAATTTCTAGAGGAAACTTCTCTTATTTTTTCTTTATATCAAACTAAGTTTTTCTAATGCAATATAAGAATTGTGTCTTCTGGAGATGGGAAAAAGTGTATATTTTCTTAATTGATCTAAGAGTCAGGCAGTCTTGTTTATATCCAACTCTGCCACTGGAGTCCTAGAAGATTGGACAAGATACTTAATCCTACTCTGAATGTCAGTTTCTGTATCTGAATAATGAGGATATAGTAATTTTTTGCTGGGTAGTTATTAGGATTAAATGAAGTTAAAAAAAAATCACTCAGGCTGGCTGCCGTGGCTCACGCCTATAATCCCAGAATTTTGGGAGGCTGAGGTGGGCGGATCACCTGAGGTCAGGAGTTCGAGACCAGCCTGACCAACGTGGAGAAACCCCGTCTCTACTAAAAATACAAAATTAGCTGTGTGTGGTGGTGCATGTCTGTAATCCCAGCTACTCGGGAGGCTGAGGCAGAAGAATTGCTTGAACCTGGGAAGCAGCAGTTGTGGTGAGTTGAGATCGCCCCATTGCACTCCAACCTGGGTAACAGGAGTGAAACTGTGTGTCAAAAAAAAAAAATCACTCATATGTAGATTATATATATATACACGTAAATCAAGTGCCTCTCTAGCACAAAGATCAGCCCATAAACCAAAGACTTAAGTTTTAGCCTCATTCTTCATTTCCCCTTTATATGCTGCTTTATATACTTTTTCCCGCATATTGTTATGGTTGGTATACTTTTTGAAAATGATAACCGTTATTAACACTGCACTAATCAGTGTAGGACATTCTGAGACATTCTAATGTTAAGTGTTTGACCATTTATTATAGAACAGAAAGATTGTATTTTGTCTTGCAGGTAATATATTATTCTAACATAATGATTATGTTTTAAATGACATTATTCTACTGATGCATTTTCAGATTGTGAATTACTGTGACTCTTCTGGTCTGTATTCTGTTTGGTAATCTTATTTTATTCTCTGTTATTTGTTCTTCTAATTATTAAATTTATTTCCTTTACCTTTTTGACATTGAATTTTATCTTTTTAAGTGGAATATTTATATAAATATTACTTTGATTCAATTCCCATTTTCCATGGGATTGGCAACCTTCCTCCTATGGAATACTAATGTGTTTATGCTCAATTTCATTTTGGGGGGGCATTGATAAAAGTAGTAACATAATTCCCTGTTAACTTATTTTACTAAATCCGTCTTGTATATATTCTAAAAGTTTTAGGGATTTAAAATTACCAATATCCTATTCATTCTCTTAACATTAAATTTGAATGCTCTACCTATATTTATTCATGTAATCCTCCTACTTTTGCATTTCTGTTAGTTTCCTATACGCATGTCTATGAAGCAGTAATTTCTTAGGTAAATGAATATGTTGAGCCTGCTGTATAGTTTTGACTAGAAGAATAGAACCATGAAGTATATCAGAATTTCTTCAAGCGTAACTTTTTTTTTTTTTTCGAGACAGAGTCTTACTCTGTCACCCAGGCTGGAGTGCAGTGGCGTGATCTTGGCTTACTGCAACTTCTGCCTCCCAGGTTCAAGCAATTCTCCTGCCTAGTCTCCTGAGTAGCTGGCATTATAGGTGCGCACCACCATGCCTGGCTAATTTTTGTATTTTTAGTACAGATGAGATTTCACCACATTGGTCAGCCTTGTCTCAAACTTCTGACCTTGTGATCCCCCTGCCTCAGCCTCCCAAAGTACTGGGATTACAGGTGTGAGCCACGATACCTGGCTCTTTTTTTTTTTTTTTTTTTTTTGAGATGAAGTCTTGCTCTGTCATCAGGCTGGAATACAGTGGAGTGATCTTGGCTCATTGCAGCCTCCACCTCCCAGGTTCAAGTGATTCTCCTGTCTCAGCCTCCCTAGTAGCTGGGACTACAGGCACATGCCACCAAAGCCCAGATAATTTTTGTATCTTTAGTAGAGACAGGGTTTCACCATGTTGGCCAGGATGGTCTCGATCTCTTGACCTTCTCATCCACCCACCTCGACCCAAGTGCTGGGATTACGGGTGTGAGCCACTGTGCCTGGCCCAAGCATAACTTCTAATGAAAATAAAACAGAAGAGATTTAATGTAGGAAAGCTGATTCCATTTGATGATACAGTAATTCATTAAGTATGTGTTGAGACTGTATGTAGAATCAAACTAGATACACTTTGGAGTTATACAAAAGATGATGGCACCGTTTCTGCTCTTGAAAATCCTGCAGCACAGTTGAGGACCCATATATGTACATAGCTGAGCAAACAAAGTTAGACTGGGAAGAGCCATGTAGAATAATGGGAAATTCTATCAGAAAGGATAAAAAGGGATGCCTTCTGAATCTCATTTGTTATGTAGAAATTTTTTCAGTTCTTAGGCAAGGAGGCTAGAGGAGAGTAAGCACAGTATTTTTCTTTTACGGTAAACATTTGTTTTTAAAATTTTCCTTTCGTATGTGATTTTGTTAAGCCTGGCCCTTTCTGGCCAAAGCATGCTTGATTATTTTCTTTTGTATAATTTAAGTTAAATGTCTTCCAGAGGGTTGTGATTAGGTTGGTGAATTCATTATTTCTCTTCTTTAACCATCACTGGACCTGAATTTCAACCAACATGATGAGAAGATTTGTATAAATGATTTCAAAGTCCCTTTTAGCTCAAATTCGGTGCAAAGCAGATATTATTTGTCTCTGGAATTAGTGTGCAAACATTTCTTTCTAGCTTGGTTGATGAAGACAATAAAGGAACCCTTTTTTGGTTTTGAAATTTTTGTTAATTATTGTTTTCTTCTTTGGCACAGTAAGCCATGACTCCATCCAGTCAGGTTTTCTTTTGATGTTTTAAGTGTTTGCTTTATTGAACTTTAGAGATTCTTATGTATATGTAGTAAATATAAAAGTCCTAAGTTTCCCAGTCATTCATGTTAATATCCTTTTCACAAAAGCACAGAAAGGAAAAAAAGCACTCTTTTACTCTTTTCTTCATTGCTTCATTATTAAAAGGCTCCAAGAAAATTTAGGAGCAGGTTTCAGATAAAAAGAAAATGAGTTTTTTTTTTTTTTCTTAAGTAAAGGTGAAATCTTAACTGAAGGAGACAGATTTCTTTCTTTAAAAAAAATTGTAGAAAACATTGAATGATTTAAGAATTAATGTTCAAAGAGGATCTCCCTGGAAAATAGTTGTTTTTTTTTTTTTACTTTTTTTAGCTAGAGGAATTTTAAACTCAAGCTCAAATTTAGAAAAAGACAGTAAGATGTGAATGAAAATTGATACGTAGAATATATGACTTATCTGAATATTTGTAGATTTTGAATACAACTGATATAATAATATTGAAAGTATTTTGCTATTGTGCAGTTTGTTTGCTTGTATTATTAGTTGATATTTTTCCATTATTCCTTAGAAAATATTTTAAATTTATCCTCAGTGAGACGTGTGCTGAAGTCAGTAATAGGCCTGCAATTAAGTGTCAGGCTTGAAATGTGACCTAGTGCTGCTCAGAAGACTGGGTATTAAGTTTGGTAGATTGCTCATGAAAGTCTTTGCAAAGCCAAAAATTCATGGATGAAGCCAAATTCAGGAGCTCTGGCACAGTTAGACATCAGAGTTCAGTGTGATTTCTTGATACATTCATTGTGGTGCTTTCCTTTTGTCCTTGATTACTTATTTTCCTGCAATAATGATTACTCTCTCTCTCAGGTTATTTGAGGAAGAGTAAGTAACCCTATTCTAAATGTGGTTGGTGAACCAGTGGCCTCAGCATCACCTGAGAGCTTGGTGGAAATGCAGAATATCAGACCTACTCAATGAGAATTTTTTTAACGAGATCATCAGATGACACATACACATTAAAATTTAAAAGTGCTACACCAACAGATTGGGAAGAATAGAGAGAGCTCTCATTGAGAACAGGAAATAATATCAAGTGAAAAAAACTGTGGGCAGGCTGAACAGCAACTTTGAAAACAAATCCTCAAACAGAAACAAGGCTGTTTAAAGAATGTACAACTGGCCTGTAATCCCAGCACTTTGGAAGGCTGAGGCAGGCAGATCACTTGAGGTCAGGAGTTTAAGACCAGCCTGGCCAACATGGTAAAACTCCATCTCTAATAAAAATACAAAAGATGTGATGGCACATGCCTGTCATCCCGGCTACTCAGGAGGCTGAGACGTGAGGTTATCATTTGAACCTGGGAGGCTGAGGTTGAAGTGAGCTGAGATCATGTCACTGCACTCCAGCCTCAGCAACAGAGCGAGAACAGGAATAGTAAGTAGGTTTTGAGTAGTGTGCCAATTCTAATCCCAGAGTATTGGCTGCCAGGAGCATTGTGTTGAGAAGAGTTGTGAGGCTGTGGGATTAACAGAGATACCTGCTGTGGGCCAGTTGAGTGATATGTACTTGCCACCCCTGCTTTTGAAGATTGTTGGGCCATCATGCATTCTTGCCTCTCTTCCTTTGTCTTTAGTCCTGGTATAGACGAATACAACTACTCTTTTCCTCTCGAGGCATCTTCTGCTATAATAGCTAATAAATCTAAGTGAAAATGTTACTTTTCTGTCAAGGAACTCAGTTACCTAGAAATACACTGCTTCCCCCATTGCGCTTCATGGCACAATGGGCTGAGTTTCCCGTAACAACATGCTATTATTTTGTAAGTAAGATTTAATCCCCTCTTATCTATTACCTACTTTTGCTAACCTTGCTGTATCTGTTTTCTTACCTGAAAACAAAAATTGGACTTGATCTATAAGGTCTTTTTCTGCTCTTAAAATTCTGTGGATTTGTATGTCCTTTTGCCATCTGAAGAAAGGATTAGATCTGTAGCATTCTACCCAATTTAAGCACTACATATGAGAAATACAATTTTTTTATTGATGATTTTATTTCATGATCTTTCTTTGTTCATTTCTGTGATCTCAAACTTTTACAGATGGTTAAAGTAGAAAGAGAACTTTAATGATCTCTTTGCCTTTGGTCATTCCCCCTTCAATTTCTCCATTCCCATCTTTGCAAGGGTAACCTTACTAAATCACTGTGTTCATTGGGTATTTCTCATTTAAAAACTTGTTGTCTAGACTTTGGAGAACATATGTGGTCAAGACTTTTCTGCTTGGCATTCAAGGCCTGTGAAAACTGACCCTAAGTATGTATTTTCCTCTGTTCTCCAATTTGAATAACTTTTCCTCTCCAGGCTAATGCTTTCCAATTGTATACAGTATAGACTACCCTTTTCCTAACCTAATTTCCACTAGCATTTAAAATCACTTTTGGTCCCCATGTTTCTGAGACCACAGTTTTTTATACACTAATGGTGTATCTATGTAGTCCTGTATTTTTAAGATAATATTTTATTGTTGTTTAACTTTTCATTTATTGTTTTTTTTTTTTTTTTTTTTTGAGACGGAGTTTCGCTCTTGTTACCCAGGCTGGAGTGCAATGGCGCGATCTCGGCTCACCGCAACCTCCGCCTCCTGGGTTCAGGCAATTCTCCTGCCTCAGCCTCCTGAGTAGCTGGGATTATAGGCACGCACCACCATGCCCAGCTAATTTTTTTTGTATTTTTAGTAGAGACGGAGTTTCACCATGTTGACCAGGTTGGTCTCGATCTCTCGACCTCGTGATCCACCCGCCTCGGCCTCCCAAAGTGCTGGGATTACAGGCTTGAGCCACCGCGCCCGGCCCCATTTATTGTTCTTATCTCCTCAAATAAATGGTGAACCTCTTGAGGTTAGACTGAACCCTTTCAGTTATCATGCACATAGTAGGTGCACAGAAATTATTCCTTGAAAGATGTAGTAGAGATTTTGCAGCTTGCTTTCTTTGCTCTTCAGAATGCCAAGTGAACCAATAACTTTCTTTGGAAACTGAAAGATCCCGTGGCATCTGTGAATAAGAAGGTATAAATAGAAGATAGGGATGTTGGAGATACTTGGCCATATTTTCAAAGACAAATGTAATGGATTAAATATCATTTCAAGTATGATTTTTTCCCCCTTATCACTTTTCCTTAGCATTCCTTTTGACAAAATCACAAGCAGTTCTTACTCGTTCTTGTAGCAGGAAGCAGCAGCAGAAAAGGACTTTTTGATTATCAGAATGTGTTGGTTAGTAAAAGGACTGCAAGCTTTAGAGTAAGTAGTTTGAGTTCTTCCACTGTCTCTCTTCCTGACCACAGACAAACACTCTAGCATTCTGAGAATCCCTTTATTCATCTGTAAAGTAGGAATTATGAATTATGTAATACTAACTTCCTGTAAATATATCACTTGGTATGGGGTGAGGAATAGAGACGAAACAATATAAATGAAGATAGAAAAGACTGTTTCTACTGGCTGGGCACTGTGGCTGTAATCCTAGCACTTTGGGAGGCTGAGGCAGGTGGGTCACCTAAGGTCAGGAGTTTGAAACTAGCCTGACCAAGATGCTGAAACCACGTCTCTACTAAAAATAAAAAAATTAGCTGGGCCTGGTGGTAGGCACCTATAATCCCAGCTACTCAGGAGACTGAGGCAGGAGGATCGCTTGAACTTGGGAGGTAGAGGTTGCAGTAAGCCGAGATCATGCCACTGCACTCCAGCCTGGGTGACAAGTGAAACTCCATCTCAAGAAAAACACACACACACAAAAAAACCAAAAACAAGAAAAGATTATTTCTGTTATGTGTCTGTTTACATATTATAACACTAAAATACCTTGCCAAATGTTTTTATGGCCCTAAAAAGGTTTCCCTTAGTTTTTAAGCTCCTAGGGAGGCAGAAATATCTTTTTTTTTTTAATGGCGCCTAGTTCAACACTTCATGAATTGACATATTAAATCAATATTTTTGAAATGTAGCTAAGAGGTATAAATTAAATCAATTTAAAGGTTATCTAGTCTAATTGTCACTATCACCAACTTTCTCAAGTATCTTTAAGAAATAAGTCTCTTTTAAAACTTAAACCTCATTTCGAGTACATTTAAATTATTATTTGCTTGCTAAATTTAAAAACAAAACAAAAATTGAAAGCAGTTAGAATTGCTGCTTTTAGAAAATTTCGTTAAGTGGTAGTTTTCTCAGTTGTAAATGACACCTAATTTTCCAAGTAACCTGCCTCCCCACATTACCTCCTTTCTCCCTCCTCTCCTCATTTCTGATCTTCCTCACATTTTTCCAGCTAACTAAACACTAGCAATATGCTAGACACTGTGAATATAGAAATGAATAAGGCACATTTTCTGTTCTCAAGGAGATGTCTGTCTGGTGATGTTGGTCTGTACAGAGACTTAAAGTATCCAAAATGGTATTTCAGTAATTCTCTTACCATGATGTTTGATCAGGATATTTTGTCTTCCATTCATAGGGTGAGAATGTTTTCTCTGTATTCTAATAGATTTTTGATAGCAATAAGGTCTGCTTTAAGTATGCAATAAGGCTTTGTGTCTCCTGTTGTCCTTTGCAGCATCACCATTTTAATGTAAGTGTTCATGTAGCAATACTTTATAGTTGTAAATGCCATATGGAGATCCCCTTAGAATTTATCTAATCCAATGGCTTATTTTACTGATAGGGAAAAACTAAAACTAAAAGTGGTAGTTGGGATTATTTTAAAATTGTGTGCAGAATTTAAATGTTCCCTCCTGTGTTCACTGATCTTTTTTTGTAGCTAACAGATAGTTTTCCCCATCACAGATATTCAGATATTTGAAGAAAAATTTCTTTCTCTTGTAAATCATCCCTTAAGCAGGTTCAGTTTTAGTAGTATTGGTTATATGATGAAGCTTCTTAATTTTTCACCGTTATTGGTAATTTTTCTGGTTGAATTTGAATGGATCAGTCCCTCTGAAAACACATAATCTATAAAGTAACAATTACAGGACTGTAGCTTCATGATGAGAGGAAATGGCTTGTGCTTCTCCCTCTCCTTATGTGCTTATTATTATATTATTTTTTAGTTCCCCTACTTCCAAATTACTCTTGAGGTGTCTGGGCTAAATATAAGACTGTGATTGATTATTGGCCCAGTTATCCATTTGTTACAAAGTTTTATGATAGCTGTGTGGTCTGAATTACTGCTTTAGAAACTGTATCAGCTCATTAATTTTTCTTTTTAAAATTTTGTTTTCAATGTTATGATTTATTTACTTGCAACTTTTTTCTTGCTTTTTCTTTTTGATTTTCTTTATTTTTTATTTTTTAAAATCTTATATTACAGACAAACAGAAACTTCCTCCTTTCATCTTTCCATTCTCTGATTTATGATGAATTTAGTTTCCTTTGGCCTGGCATTTGCTTCAGCAGGCAGTCTTCCTTCAAGTACCTCCCTGATTGATGTATAATCTTTGATATCTTCCATTAGCCTCCAGGATCACTAAGTTCAAGGCCCCCTTGGAACCTAAGAAGCCCTGCCGAGGAGCTGAAGGCCTTCAGAGTCCTTGGGGTGATTGACAAGGTAATTCTTCAGTGTCTCTTCAAGAGTTCAGTTATAAATCGACTGCATGCTGACATTCTGTCTTTGAAGCTTTGGATCTTAAGAATATGAAACAAAAGGAGAAAATGACTCAAATGCATCTGTACTTTAAAATAACAAAAGCAGAAGAGAAAAAGCTTTTATCTAAGCAATTCATGTAAGGTCATGCAAAATATATTTGAGCTAAAGGAGAAGGTGCATATTTGTTGGCATTCAGTTGAGTAAGGGATTTGGTTTTATAAAAGTGTTGCAGCCGGGTAAAGATGTACTTAGTGTTAATTATGAGGCAGTAGTTGTTTAACATTAATTAATACAGTCATTTTAATGGTCCAAAATAAAAGTGGAATCTCCTTATAACTACCATTTACAGAGCACCTACTGTGTGTAAGACCCTATAGTAGGCATTTTATATAGAACAACTTAATCTTTCTTACAATTTTATTTGCATCTTGGTGGAAAAGTTTTGTTTAGAGCAGATTAAATAACTTGGCTCAAAGTCACCTAGCTAGTTTAGGGAGGTACTGGGATTTGAACATTAATTTTTGTGACTCAAAAGCTGTGCTTTTTCCAATACACTAATCCCTCACTTCACACACACGTACATTTTAATATTTGGGATAAAAATACTGACCTCACAGAGAATCTACCATTGTGTATATGCAAATTTGGTGACATATCAATATGCCAAATATTAACAGTACTGGTCCTATCAGGTGGTTTACAAGTGTAATTTAATAGCCACAGACAACAGACCATGTTTTAAATATAGTTGCTCAACTACCACATTACCATTCAAAGTAAAAGAAAATGCTTTATTTAATATTAAGAGACAAGTTAATTTAGATATTTTTTCACCATTAAGCATTTTTTATGCAGCACCTTAATGTTCATTTTTAACTTAATATTCATTGAGTTTTTATAAAGTTTATGTATGTGATTCCATGCTAAAATTTAACAACATGTAGTATTCTCTAGCAATTTAGACAGTAACTAATAGTTTGAAGTATTCCAAAGGGAAAATGAAGTTGGATGTTACATAAAGCTGTCGGTGTTTTAGTTCTGGCAAGGATCATTTTTTTCTCAAATAAATTCATATTACTGAATTTTGCACTTAAAAATTTTTAAGCAGTAGGATTTTTCTTTTTTTATGAGCCTAAAATATTTCCATAACCGTGTGTTCTGTGGCTTTTCCAGTTTTGAAAACATTCGATTTGAGAGTAGCTGAAGACAATATAGTAATTGAGTAGTTCCTACATTCTCAGATTTCTTTGCAGGCAGGTACACCTTCTTGTTGTACAGTGTCTGCCCTCTCCCTTAGATCTATTTCTTTGACAAAGTATGGCCTTTCATGGCTATGCTATAAGTAAGTTACCTTGAAGTCCTAGTAATAGCTATGAGTCTTACAGATTTGTTTAAATAAGGGCTGTTGCCAGATGTGGTAGTTTATACCTGAAATCCCAGCACTTTGGGAGACCAAGGCGGGCAAATCACTTGATCCCAGGAATTTGAGACTATTCTGGGCAACACGGTGAGAACCCGCCTCTACAAAAAATAGTGACACTTAAGCCGGGCGCGGTGGCTCACGCCTGTAATCCCAGCACTTTGGGAGGCCGAGGCGGGTGGATCACAAGGTCATGAGATCGAGACCATCCTGGTCAACATGGTGAAACCCCGTCTCTACTAAAAATACAAAAAAATTAGCTGGGCATGGTGGTGCGTGCCTGTAATCCCAGCTACTCAGGAGGCTGAGGCAGGAGAATTGCCTGAACCCAGGAGGCAGAGGTTGCGATGAGCCGAGATCGCGCCATTGCACTCCAGCCTGGGTAACAAGAGCGAAACTCCGTCTCAAAAAAAAAAAAAAAAAAAAAAAAATAGTGACACTTAAGTAGTGTCACTACTTAAAAAAATTTCACTACCCGGGTTCAAGTGATTCTCCTATGTCAACCTCCCATGTAGCTGAGACTTAAAGGCATGTACCACCACACTCGGCTTTTTTTTTTTTTTTTTTTTTTGGTATTTTTAGTAGAGACAGGGTTGTACCATGTTGGCCAGGCTGGTTTCGAATTCCTGACTTCAGGTGATCTGCCAGCCTCGGCCTCCCAAACCAAAGTGCCAGGATTACAGGTGTGAGCCATGGTGCTCGGCCTAACTTTTCTTAGTAGAGATAGGAAATATGTATTTTGGACATTAAGAAGCTTTAGGAATTAATAAGTCTTTTAAAATTTATAACATATTCCTGTAAAAACATAAGTAGGTATAGTGTGGGAGCTGTGGCTCTTGCCTGTAATCCCAGCACTTTGGGAGACTGAGGTGGGCAGATCACCTGAAGTCAGGAATTCGAAACCAGCCTGGCCAACATGATACGATCCTGTCTCTACTAAAAATACGAAAATTAGCCAGGTGTGGCAGCGGGCGCCTGTAATCCCAGCTACTCAGGAGGCGGGAGAATTGCTTGAACCTGGGAGGTGGAGGTTGCAATGAGCCTAGGCAACAGAGCCAGACTGTCTCAAAAAAACAAAAAGAAAGAAAGAAAGAAAAAAAAACATAAGTAGGTATATTTTTTGAAAGCTGAACAGTTTTTAAAGGTAAGTTACTTTCCATTGTACTGAGGACGAGCTACAATTTTGGTTTTAGAAACTTGAAGTATGAAATAGAAATGTTGAATAAATTTAAAAGGTTAGAAAATGCACAGGATATGTTGATCTAATCCTACAGAACACAGTTTCTTTGATTCTGTTTCGGTATAGTATTTGTTTTTTTATGAGTTATTTTGAGTATTATCTATTAACCTAGGAAAATACAGTTCTGAATTGAACTGCATTAGGATTAGGATTTCACAATTTTTTTTATGTAGAAAAAAAATAAAGCAGATTTTTTCACTAATATCTAGACTGTAAGCTCTATGAAAACAAGATTGTGTCTTTTTTTGTTCACCACTATGTTCTCGGTACCTAGAATCATGCTTGGCACATAATGGGTGCTCAATAAATAATTGTTGAATAAATGAATTGAAACATAAGTAATATTAAATATATACAGAGTGACACCTACTGGTATAATATGAGACTGCTACCTGGTGCCATTTTATGAGGTGACAACTTATAAAGTGTTTACCCAGAGGGTGCTGTATGTTGATCTAGTTTTCAAAGAGAAGTAAATGACTTTCTGTTTTTGAATTGGGATTATAAACTCCCTCATTAACATAGGTATGCAAAAATCATATATGAAGAACAACTAGAAAACAAGGAGATATTTAACTTGATTGAAAAAAAAAACCATGTGTGGTCCTTAAATAGTTAAGAGCTGTCCTAAATAGGGAATTGTATAATGTTTTTTCAAATCTTGAGGGTAAAAAGGGCTATTAATTGTGTCAGAACAAGTGCAAACTAAAATTATCTCAGATAAACCAGGATGTCTGGCTTCTCTGTGAAAAAGGTAGTTGGGGAGAGACTTGCATGTTAATATCATCATAGGATATAACTAGAAACACATTAGTACAAATTCAAGAGAAACAATTTTTTGCTCATGATAAGATATAATTTTTGAGAATTAGCATATTGACCAAAGGCGTAGTGGATTCCTTTAGATCTGATGAGTTTTTTGTCATTTGAGATATTCAAGTGAAGGCTGAAAGATTAATCAATGAGATGCTGTAGAGTGAACTGGGTGGAATTTTATTAGATAACTTTTAAATATTTCTTTGATCTCACAGGTTTTTTTACACAGTCTTTGCCTAGCAATAGGAGGGGAGAGTAGAAGTTAGTGGAAAAATTATGGGATGAGGAAGATGGATTACTATTATTTTCATATAAGTTTTTATAGACATGGATGCAATTCTTGTATGTGTGTGGTATGAATATATGGGATGTGCTTGTATTTGCATGTGTATGAATATTGTTTATATATGGTAATTTGTAATTGTGTTAGAAGTCTAGATTGCTAGTTTGACTGGTAGTAGAATGCCCAGTGCTGAGTGAATTTCTGAGAAATGTCACTGTTATATAACTTAACTATAAAAAGTATAAAGGAGCCCATAGTTTAGGATACTGTAATATACCAATGTTAGTTTCCTGGTTTTGATATCGAATTAGAACTATAGTGCTTGCTTTGGCAGCACATATATATTGGAATGATACAGAGAAGATTAGCATGGCCCCTGCGCAAGGATGACACGCAAATTCGTGAAGCATTCCATATTTTTGTCAATTCTAAGCAAAAAGAACAAAGCAGGAGGCATCACACTACCAGACTTCAAACTGTACTACAAGGCTACAGTAATCAAAACAGCATGGTACTGGTACCAAAACAGAGATATAGACCAATGGAACAGAACAGAGGCCTCAGAGGAAATACAACATGCCCACAACCATCTGATCTTCGACAAACCTGACAAAAACAAGCAATGGGGAAAGGATTCCCTGTTTAATAAATGGTGTTGGGAAAACTGGCTAGCCATGTGCAGAAAGCAGAAACAGGACCCCTTCCTGACACCTTACACCAAAATTAACTCCAGATGGATTAAAGACTTAAACATCAGACCTAACACCTTAAACACCCTAGAAGAAAATCTAGGCAAAACCATTCAGGACATAGGCGTAGGCAAGGACTTCATGACCAAAACGCCAAAAGCAATGGCAGCAAAAGCCAAAATAGACAAATGGGACCTAATCAAACTCCACAGCTTCTGCATGGCAAAAGAAACAGTCAGTAGAGTGAATCGGCAACCAACAGAATGGGAAAAAATTTTTGCAGTCTACCCATCTGACAAGGGGCTGATATCCAGAATCTACAAAGAACTAAAACAGATCTACAAGAAAAAAAAAGACAAGCCCATTCAAAAATGGGCGAAGGATATGAACAGATACTTTACAAAAGAAGACATACAGGAGGCCAACAAACATATGAAAAAATGCTGATCATCACTGGTCATTAGAGAAATGCAAATCAAAACCACATTGAGATACCATCTCACACCGGTTAGAATGGCGATCATTAAAAAATCTGGAAACAACAGATGCTGGAGAGGATGTGGAGAAATAGGAACACTTACACTGTTGGTGGGAATGTAAATTAATTCAACCATTGTGGAAGACAGTGTGGCAATTCCTCAAGGACCTAAAAATAGAAATCCCATTTGACCCAGCAATCCCATTACTGGGTATATATCCAAAGGATTATAAATCATTCTACTATAAGGACACATGCACACGAATGTTCATAGCAGCACTGTTTACAATAGCAAAGACCTGGAACCAACCCAAATGCCCAACAATGATAGACTGGATAGGGAAAATGTGGTACATATACACCATGGAATATTACGCAGCCATCAAAAACGATGAGTTCACGTCTTTTGTAGGGACATGGATGAACCTGGAAACCATCATTCTCAGCAAACTGACACAAGAGCAGAAAATCAAACACTGCATATTCTCACTCATAGGCGGGTGTTGAACAATGAGAACACATGGACACAGGGAGGGGAGCACAACACACTGGGGTCCATTGGGGGGAAATAGGGGAGGGACGGGAGGGTGGGGAGGTGGGAAGAGATAGCATGGGGAGAAATGACAGATACAGGCAAGGGGACGGAAGGCAGCAAACCACACTGCCATGTGTGTACCTATGCAACAATCTTGCATGTTCTTCACATGTACCCCAAAACCTAAAATGCAAAAAAAAAAAAAAAAAAAAAAAAAGAACTATATAAGGTGTCACCATTGGGGGAAGCTGAATGAAGGGTACATAAGACTTTTTGTACTGTTTTTGCAGCCTCCTGTGAGTTAAAAAAAAGAAAAGAGTAAGGGGAATATTGATGATTTGAAGCCCAGGGTAATAATACTAAGATTTGATTTCCTCATAGCCAGTTAACTCTTCTGGTTTGTGTGTAAACTGAATCATTCTGTGCGTACGTACATGTATGGTATTCACAAGGAAAATCAGTGAAGATCATATATCTGGATTGCCCAAATTTATTGTCACTGTGAGAAACAACTTAAATATGATGCTTTGCAAGTCATTGTGATAAGAGATACCACACACTTTGTTAAGTCCGTGACTATTTACTAGGTCAGATGCCTTGGCATTTTGTAATCAAGAAAGCTTCCCAACTTTATCTGATGCCTGCCAGGCAGAATTCTTAAGTTGACTTGCCATTGGAAAAATGTGGGCATTTCTATTTTGTAGCTAAAATATGACTGAGAAAACGTGGGGAAATTGCTCAAATTGAGTAGCTGTTGAAATATTGATACTTATTTTCTAAGATACCTAAATAATATCTTCTCTGATAATGCATGGAAAAACCGTCTGTATTTGGAACACTGAAGCATCAATATTTGGGTATTTGCTCATTAAATCAAGAGGACATGACGCAACATTTTTTAAGTGCTAAAAGGAAAGAACTATCAACCCAGAATTCTATATCCTGTGAAAATATCTTTCAAGAATTAAGAGAAAATAAAGGTATTCTCAGATGAAAAAATACAAAAAGAATTTGTTACTGACAAGCCTACCCTAAAAGAATAAAGTGCATTCTCTAAACAAAATGGAAACAATAAATGCAAGAATCTTGTCACATTAGGAAGAAAGAAAGAACACTGGAAAGAGTTAAATATAAGTAAATACAATGGACTTTCTTTCCCTTTAGTTATGTAAATTATCTTTTATGATTGAAGCAAAAATTCTAATACAGCCTGATGTAGTTCTGAGTTCATGCAGAGAAAATATTTAAGGCAATCATAATGAGGGAGAGTAAAGGGATATAAAGGAAGATAAGGTTTTTATGCTTAGCTTGAAATGGTAAAATGACACCAGTAGACTGCAATTAAGTTATGTATATATAATATAACTAGAGCAACCACTAAAAAGCTTTTTATACACTCAAAAATACTATATAGGCCAAGTGCAGTGGCTCATGCCTGAAATTCCAGCACTTTGGGAGGCCAAGGTGGGCAGATCACCTGAGGTCAGGAGTTTGAGACCAGTCTGACCAACATGGTGAAACCCTGTCTGTATTAAAAATACAAAAATTAACCAGCATGGTGGTGCATGCTTGTAGTCCCAGCTACTTGGGAGGCAGAGGCATGAGAATCTCTTGAACCTGGGAGGCAGAGGTTATAGTGAGCCGAGATTGTGCCATTGCACTCCAGCTGAGGCAACAGAGTAAGACACCACCTCAAACGAACAAACAAAAAATACTATAGATAAACCAAAACGGAATTCTAAAAAATATTCAAATGACCCACAAAAAAACAGGAAAATAGAAACAGAGAACAAACAGAATGCAAAAAATAACATGCAAACTTAAGACCATACCAGTTAAAAAACACAGAGATTGATATTGGACTAAAGATATGACCCAACTTTATAGTATTTATAATAAACTTCAAACATAATATAATGATATATATGTATATATATAAAGTAAAAGGATGGAAATGACACATGCAAACGTTAATCAAAGAACACAGGGGTGACCATATTAATACAAGATAAAGTATGCTTCATACCAAAGAAAGTTAACGAGAGACAGAGAGGACATTAGATAATGACAAAAGGGCAATCTACCAAGAAGACATACCAATCCTACAAATGTATATACCAGACATCAGAGTTGTAAAATATATGAAGCAAAAGCTGATAGAAAGTGAAAGGAGAAATAGGCAGTTGCAGTTGGAGACTTCAACACTCTTTCTCAAAAACTGATATAACAGACAAAATCAGCAACAATAGAGAACTCCAGAATACTGTCAATCAACAAAATGTAACTGACTTTTATAGAACACTCTATCTAACAACAGCAGACTACATATTCTTTTTCAGTGCCCATGGAAATTGTACCAAGACAGACCATTTCCAGGGCTGAAAAACAAACCTCAACAAATTTGAAAGTATTGAAATCATACTGGGTGTGTTCTCTGACCATAGATGAATCAAATTATTAACCAGTAACAAAGATAATAGAAAACTCCAAATACCTAGAAACAAACAGTATACTACTAAGTAATTCATGGGTTAAAGAAGAAATCTCAAAGGATTTTTAAAAACTCATATAGTTGAATGACAACAAAAGCAGAAATATCAGAATTTATGAGACATAGCTAAGCAAGTGTTCAGAGACAAACTTATAGCACTAAACGATTATATCAGAAAACAAAAGTCAAGTGTAGGATCCTAACTCATAAAGAACTAGAAAAGGAACAAAATAAACCTAAAGCAAGCAGGAGGAAGAAATAAAATCTGCTATGCTACTCAGCCAACAAAGATGCCATATTGCTCAGGCTGGACTGCAGTGGTACAATCGTGGCTCATTTCAGCCTCTATTGCTTAGGATCAAGTGATTCTCCCATTTCAGCCTCCTCAATGCCTGGAACCAGAGGCTTGTACCACCATGCCTGGCTAATTTTTTGAATTATTTTGTAGAAATGGGGTCTTCCTATGTTTCCCAGGCTGGTTTTGAACTCCTGGGTTCAAGCAGTTCTCCTGCATTGGTTTCCCAAAGGGCCAGGATTATACCATACCCAGTCTCTGTTTGATTTTAAAAGATTGTTTCAATTTCTTTTTATAATTTCTTTCTCGTTCTTTTTTTTTTTTTCTTTGAGACAGGGTCTCACTCTGTCACCTAGGAGTGCAGTGGTGTGATCTTGGCTCACTGCAGCCCCACCTTTCAGGTTAAAAGTGATTCTCCTGCCTCAACCTCCCGAGTAGCTGGGACTACAGGTGTGTGCCACCATGCCTGGCTAATGTTTGGCATTTTAGTAGATACGGGGTTTCACCATATTGGCCTGGCTGGTCTTGAAGTCCTGGCCTCAAGTGATCCGCCTGCCTTGGCCTCCCAAAGTGTTGGGATTACAAGCATGAGCCACTGTGCCCAGCCTAATTATTTTTAAAATTTCTTTCATAAATTTTTGAGTTGTGTTATCTTGGAGATCACGGACTTTCCTTATAACTACTATTTTGAATTTGTGGTTAGAGAACTCACAAATTGCCTTCTTGTTAGAATCAGTTGCTGGATTTTTGTTTTGTCCTTTTGTGGATAAAACTATTTTAAAATTAATATGAAACCAACAAGGAGCCTAAATAGCTAAGGCAATCCAAAGCAAAAAGAACCAAGGTGTAGGCATCATGCTATATGACTTCAAACTATACTACAAGTTTGTAGTAACCAAAACAGCATGGTATTGGTACAAAAACAGGTACATA